TATGTGTCCCCGTGCATGCATACGGTGATACGAGTCGTGTTCGTGAGCGCGCGCATCGCCGCAAGTACATGCTGCAAGATTTGTGGCAGCGTTTATCGCATGTGTATAATGTGTATCCCGCTACACGAAGGAAATTCATCTAATGAGAAATTTCGTTACGCGCTACGATGGGAACGCAGACCAATTCAAGTAGTCGTCATATCAATGAGGCGTCCACCGTAGAATAGGGCTACTGTAGTGCACGACCTTGCTGTAATTTCACCGTACTCCGAGTCCGAGTCGATCGAAACATAATTGTTCACATTTCACAAAGAGACCAAAAAGTTAATTTTATTCATCTTCATGAAGGGCAGACTAAAAAGTAAAAAATGTATAGCTTGTATGAATTCATTAAAACAATAATTATAGGGAATTACTGGCCTTCTGCGCTGCAAAACTAGGGGGACAAAAAAACCTGGAGGGGACAGAATTACCTGAAGGGGGACAGAATTAACGGGCCGGGGAGGACACTTTTACCTAGGTAATTCTGTCCCCCCAGACACTTTTAACGGGGGACAGAATTACCGTCCACACCGGACAGTAGAAATCTCAAGTGGACTTAAAAGTTGACTTGATTTCAAATTACGTTTTGCCCTTCACCGACGTATAAACATTGTATACTAACTTTATACTTTATTTGAAGTCTAAAGGTAATCATTTATTGAGTTCATTGCTAGTTTTGAGACTATAATTTTTTCCCAACTTGTTTGAGTTCTGCAATAATTGACTAAAAAGCAGTAAATCTGAAACTAAGACCCAATCTGAAACGGTCTTTTTTCAGTGGCTACGGCCACGGCTGAGAGCGTCACGCGAGGTTCGTAATGGCCCGCGGTTGAGCGTTCAAATAGCCCGGCTGTCGTGGCTGACCCGTCTGCCTTTACCCGTGTCGACCCGGGTGAGCTAAACGAACGCACCCTAAACGAGCTATTTTCCCGCTGTTTTGTACAATGTACATGTATATTAAGACCTTTCCCACACACTTTTGCCAACTTGCATTTTTTTCAAAAGAGGGCGCGCTACACTAATAGTGGTAGACCAGTAAATAAATTTCCATAGACCCCAATGATAAATGCCCCCACTTCAGAAATTCTGGAAAAATACTCACAGCTCTCATTTTCTGTTAATTTTTTTTTGGTTAACCAATGACTTTAGGGAGAAAATTCCATCCAAAGATGATCACCCCTAAAAGCAATCCTGAAGCCCATCTCCATTTTGAAAATGGACGCCTGCGCTCCATTGCAAAATAGAACCATTTTAGGGCCTATTTTATGCACATTTCACAGAAATACGAGCTCGCAGTCCTGTACATGGCTTCCCAACATTTTCTCACAAATCATCAATTCACAGCCTTCAAAATGTTCTAATACTGAAGAATTCGAGGGCATACAAATCGTGATTTGGCCGGCGAAGGCAATTTCGGACCGATGTACATGGTCTGTCTGTGGTCTGCACCCACAGTGAGCTGTTCTGATAACGCCCTCTTGCGGCATGTGACCGCGTATCTAAAATACAACAGCGTCTTGACTCACTACGCAACTTCGTGCATGCGTATTTTAACACAAATTTGCCTTCCGGAAAGATCAACGTACCGGATAACCGAAAAGGCCAAATTCCACATTTTGGAGATTTCTGACGTTTTAGGACGCTAGTGTGGCTACTACAGCATAAAATAGTCTATGGAGTAGCTATCCGAGTAGATCATTATGCAAACAACACCGCGTCTTGACCTCCAGATTCTGACCATTCAGCGGGCGCCTTCTATCGTGTCTTCGGTAACCCGATGTTGTATTGGGGAAAAAACAACATGGCAGCAACAGCTTTGGCCGTATTTCTGCTCTAAATAACGTCACAACTTGTATAAAGGCGGCTCCGATCGGCTGGCGCGCGGGGTCGTGTAAAATTTACATGCTCAGATATATCAGACGTTTGTAGTGTGGCTCTGCAACGTCTGATCGATCCTCAGACTCAGGATAATAGACCTTTATCATGCTGCCACCATTTCAATCGTGTTCCCTGTATCCATTAACAGCGCTGAGTGATAATTTTTTTTGTGCAAAAAGGAACCAGACTATTTTTCCTTCCAGCCTCGCTAAAGTTGGTTACATTGACTTGAATGGGAAAAAATCAAATGGCTGCAACATGATAATGGTCTTTGTAGGCCTTAACGGAAAACGTTAACGTTGTATATGCAAACATTCACCGTGCTGTTTTCACTTGGTTTGGATGAATTACTTATTGTTTTATTCATCACCTCACAACAATAAATAAATAGTAGAAAATATAAATAATCAAAACCGATGTAAAATATATCAATAACCATAGCCACAGGGCGTTACTTGGGTCTAAATAAAAATGAGGCAAATCAACAATACTTCAATCTTTGTCGGAATAAAAAATCAAAAATAAACAAAAGTGATACTAATTCTTTTGTGAAGATACCCCTTTTAGCTCATGACAATTTTTTTTCACCTGAAATTAATGCAAACTTGAGAAAAAAATCCAAAATATCCAGGGAATTCAAAGAAATGAAATTGACAGATGTCAAAATCTCCCCCCCCCCCAAAAAAAAAAAAAAACCCGCCCCTTTAAGAACTGTAGATAAAGACCAAGTGACGTAATAGTGAACTGTTAAAAATACACACGAAGTATGAAACCGACATTTTTCTTACCGACGAAACTCTCCACCAATGTAATAAATGAGAATTGTGATTAAATATAGCTCTATGGTGGGAACCAAGCATTCATTTCTACCTTGCCCTTGAACTTACATATCCGTGAAGAACATACCAATGCACTTAACATGTAATCCTTGTGGCTGCTACTTCAACAAAACCTGGAGCCATCAAGGGGGATTCGAATTACGAGTTTTCATTGCATTAAACGGACCTTATTACATTACAGCGAGTTTTAGAGTTTACAAGAGTTTTAGAGGTTCGCTCTCGGTATTTAGAAAATACGAGAATATCGGTTTCCATCTCAATTTCGGTCTATTTCAAGCTCCACATAATCACACAGAAGGGATTTGTCATATTTCAAAATTATTTCTTGGCTCACAGGATACGCGATTGCAGGGCCTTTTATGCAAACTAATTTATAGAGGGCGCTTTATCGCTCTACAACCAGGAGAGTGTATTTTCTCTCGACTGACCTCTAACTAGACCAGGGCCCAATTTTATGGCTCTGCTAACCACAGAATTCCGCGCTTACGATCACCATTTTGTGCTAACCGCACGCTAGCAAAAAAAATTTTGTGCTAACCTTGTAAGCACACAATCCTTAGTAACGGGATGTACGCATGCGCATAAGCCAAAACTCCTCGCTAACCCCTGATCTCTATATAAAGATCGGTGTCGCTAACGCGTGAAATACGCTTACCGTAAGCACGGAATTTTCTGTTATAGTCAGCAGGGTAAAGCAGAGCCAAGAATTTGGGTCCAGCTGCCACATGCTGATTTTGCATATGCAACTTGATGACGCCATCAATCCGCCATCTTGTTCCACCAAAATCACTCCAGGCCTAGGATGTACATGCGGTATTGATCTTTGGTTCAGGATTTTATAATATTAATTCATATTTTCGCCGCCTTAACTCTGAAGAAAATAAAATCCAATACCAATACTCCTAAAAAAAAGTGCGTTTACTGCGCTTGCGTCGTGGGTGAGCCAAGATGGCAGCGGTGGCTTCAACGCGCGGGCAATATCGCCAGCCAGTCCAGTTAGATTAGAGGTCAGTGCTTCTTTCAGATGAAGTAGTTGAATGTTTATTTGATATAATTCAAGGCGAAAACTCAGTACATGTATAGCTACACTGCATGTAATTCACCAAAGGTATTTGCAGGGCATGCACCTTCTAGCTGTAGGCTACGCAGTTATGTATCAAAGAATAGGTATACAATTCCACACACAATAATTTATGTACAACCGGCTCGTTATATTTACAAATAGAATAATAATTACAATGCATCTTCTGATTTCCCACAAACGAGTGGTAAATATACACAATAAACAAACGCGTATCATAATATCATGGAATAAATAAAGCGAATGTGTTTTTTTTTTATATTACAGTATATGTTCGTCAAAAACTTCAATTCAGCTGATTACAATCAAGAAAGCCGCATAGTTTCAGCAAAAAATACTGATGAGAATATAGTATACTTAAGTATCAAGACACTTTTTACAAGCCAATAGTTCGAATGATTTGAGAGCTCCCTGCAACTCTTTTCGTTGGAATTGCATCACTACAGTTCTAAATCCTTTAAAAATCTGATGGCGCTACAAACCCCAGCAGTTACATGCACTATACACCTTTCTGCGCTTGGTTGGCAAACTGCATTTTTGCCAACCACGGGTTGCAAAACTATGGAACGTCCAACACTGCAAAAATGAAGAAGAGTTATTACAGATAACCAAAATATTATTTGATTGTTGGAAATACAACATTGTCAACAAAGCTACAACATAATTCCTAAACATGCCCTTTTACTTTGTATTGAGGGCGTTTGGGGGATATTTTTGGGGAAAAACATGTTGCCAACCACGGCTTCAATATATGCGCTTGCGGCAGCCCATATAAAATGGCGCCAATGTTTACAAACAAAAGAAAGGTCTATAGGCCCACATTGTTTGGCTCTTCAATGTGTACATCGTTTGCACTGTACAGTCATTGTTATTAGGCGTGTACTTTTGGTCAACAGTACTGCGCGTGATTAGACCTCCCGTGCATTCATTAATGATTTAATATCAACAACACACCATAAATATAGCCGCTGAATGCAGTCGGTCTGTAGCAAAACGTTATGGACCTTATTCACGAAGAAGCCATTTTGGTCGTGTTCCTGAATGTATTTTATAAACTGTGAACTGTTGAATGGGATGGTGCCAGACTATTTATTCACTCTAACCTCACTTTCAATTTTTTTTTTTAAATGTGGCTTAAAACATTAGGGCATGGTTAATCACACATTTTAAATTACTCACCAGAGCAGACTGGTATTAATTTGTAACTAACTTGAACTTTTATGTCATTGCTTTCATTTCTCTTCGCAAGTTCCAAAAATGAAGATTTTACCTCGCTTTCAATTTAATATGGCCGACTCGTGAATAAGGCCAATGAGGACAGTTCTTGCCCGTTTGGTATTAGTAACATGATGGGTCACATGGCTTTAGGCTTGAACGACTACTTTGAGCTGATTGGCTTATCGCGTCGTGGTGCAGTCGGCGTGATTGAGATCCATATGAGTGGCTGTGCTGCAGGCAACCATGCCGCCGACGTGGATGCACTGGCCCTGTTCTTCATGTATTACGGGGCGTACTAACGTACAAGTCCGTACCGCACCGGCGGATGCCTGCCTAATCACACGTTGTTGGGCCTCCTATACGGAAATCAGAAATGGAAAGAAAAGATACATATTTTTGTAATAAATAATAATATATATTTTAGCACGAGCTTGTTGAAAAAAGAAGACGACGACTTAGTTCCGTTTCGGCGTTTCGGCTTCAGGCTCCCATCTCGTGAGTCTCAATAGACAACTGTACTAAACTCCGGTTCCTAATTGGTACACGCACCGTATTTGCTTTAAAAAAAAAACACATCGACATTTGTGACATGTAAAATGCGGGAGTTTGGCTTCTAGTCATTTGGTTTGCGTTTCATTGTGATTTTTGAGCACGAGATAAAGGCGAAGCCGTGAGACCATGCCTAGGTTTAGAAAAGTGACGTTTAATGTTTAGCTCACTTGATTATACTGGTCCGTCTTTTCTGATCATAACCATAGCCCATTGCCATTATAATTATCCTTCAATCTGTGTCGATGTCCTCTTTTCAAATTCAAGTCATTTTAATAACACTTTATCTTCAACAAAGTACACTTAGGCTTGTCGATTCCAGACAGATTGAAAATAGGCCTGACACATATAGTGTGTCTTAGGTCAACATTATAGAGCAAGAGACAGCACTTGGATGGGAAAGGGGAAAATGACCTCTGCGTGACCCTGATATCACAAGATAGAAGGCCAGGGAGGAAAAAAAGATCAGTTTTCATGCCAATTCCCGAGGCCCTGGTCTTCATGATTTTGTTAATATTGGACTAATTGGAAGTGCTTATTTCCTTTAATGAAACTACTCGAAATTACGGGGCATCCTTACTAAGGCAAAAAAAACAAAAAAAAACAAAACAAACAGTTCTGCCTCCGATTACATGGCATTAGAAAATTGGGTAGGTAGGTGGGATTTTTAATTTTTTTGTTGGGGGGCCACATTTTTTTGTACGATCATACTGGAGGCATCTGCGTGTAGTCAGGGCTAAAAGGTAGAAATTGATGGTTTTGAGCGGTTTTTTTTCTTCTCATTTTCCCCATAAAAAATAGGGTACGGGCTGTCAGAATAGGGCAGGTAGGGAAACCAGAAGCAGAACTATTTTGGGGGGGGGGGGCCTCCGGGATCCAATTTTCCCAACGACAAATGCCCATAATGTTAAACAGCCAAGAGACCGTTTTTGATTGTGTTGATGTTGGAAACGAGCAGCTGCCGGTACATGCAGAACACAGATGACGTAGGTTCTTATTAGCAGAGTGGTATGGGAAAATTCTCCAAATACTCGCTGTCTGAAAACTGACCGGTTTACCCAGATCTTTTTCAGTCAGTTCAAAATGATCCCCGATGGATATCGTTCCACATATTTGTGTTATCGTGTCTGCTTTGGAATTCTTCCAGACGATAACCAACAATGGGGTGATGCACTGATGCACTTTGAATAACCTTTGTTAGAAATGGAAGGGTGGCGCATACAATTAAGAAGCTTTTGTTTATTTACTAACCGTTCCGTTGTCTTGAAACCAGTCGGCAACTTCGGCTGGTACTTCGTGCGTTCTCTTGCCTTTAACAGACAGCGTCCTCTGCTGAGACTTGGGGACTTCAACCTCGTGCCCAGTGGTGGCCGACGTGCGGTCAAGGTTTGTGTGTGTGTTGGTGGCGGAGGGCGGCGACCTGGGGTCGTTGTCGTGTCTGTTGTAGTTGGTGGGTATTGCACCTGCGCAGACCACGCCTATATAGCAGGCCAGCAGGACGAGAAGGGGCGTGGCCTTGTTACCCGGGAGGTGTGTGAATTGCATGATGCGGGGGATGTCGCCACGTTCAATTCTGCACGAAAGAATAAATGACAGAAAAGACACCTTATTTAATTAGGTCAAGTATGCAACGGATCAGAGATGTATAGAATCCTTTCAGTTCGCAGCTTTTCCCCAGGCAAAACAGGCAGTTTTCTATATTTAAAGGACCCATGCGACGCAATTTTTTAATGCAATGCAAACGTGTGCTCATTGTTTGAATTTGCTTGAACTGAATTTGAAACTGTCTGACAAAAGACGAAATTAAACATAGGAAGTGCACTACATCGCTGTTGGTGGACGAATTTGAATACTAGAAACGGTGAATTCAAATGATGTATAACGTTTTAAATAACCGGGAAAGCATATATTAAAATGTTTAAAGAAGTGCATTTTGCAATAAAATTCACCAAAGGGGATGTCCAATATTTTTCATACATTTAAAGAAAATTGCATAAAAAAATGTTCCGAAGAAAAATTCAATTCATGACCCCTTTAAACAATGACGGGGGGCCGGTTAAATAATGCAAATATCCGTAAAATATAAGAATATTTTCGGGAATTAGAGAGGAATGTAGAAAAAGTCGATGTAAGGATATGATAAGGCGGGGAATTCGAGAAATTTGAGAAATGTTGAAAATTAAAACAAGATTGCAAGCCTTACAAACTCATCCAAGCCTTCCCCATTTTTAAGCCTTTGCAGGAGCTACATGTCACCTCGTGGTCGGTCGGTCGGTTGGTCTGTCTGAACAAAAACGGCCCCTTAGTGTCCCATAAAACATAACTACCAAGTGACCAAAAAAAATGACCACATGCAATGCCGTCGTCAGTAAATGTACTTTTGACGAAAGTTTTCGGAACACGCCTCTTTGTCTCGATCGATGCGCATGCGCGTCTATTTTGCATATGAAGTGGACATTCCGGAACCAGGCCAGAGCTTATTAGACAATGTCAGTCACTGATATTTCCTAAACTCAAGCATTGTAAGAACTTGCGGCATTTCTACCGAGTTACTTGTACTGTAGATGCCATATCACAAATGATAATAATAGACCGTAGCTTTTGCAGTGTGACAAGCCTATGATCATGCTTATCAATCATTACCATTTCATTGGTATCGCCGGACTGGTCAAATATACATGTTTTTACATAAGAGAAACATTGACTTCCACTATTTGTGGAAAATGGAATACCAGCGACAATCTTATCTTATCAGTCGGAATGCCACGGGAAGAGTCAAAACATGGAGATCGCTTGGTATTTCATTATGATAGCTAAAAGTGCGTGGGTAATATTTTCTTCATGTACCAAAGTTCTAAAGTCAACAAAATACATTGACTAACAGTAACATCATCAAAGGGCAGTATAACGGCAAATATCAACAAATACGAAACCTTATTTTGTGTTTTTTCTGAAAATAGTTTCTAATTGCGTATTCTACTTGAAAAGTCAAATTTGGAATAGATTGTTTATTTGTCTAAGGTGTGAACTATAGCGATCCAGTCCAGGGTTTAGGTATTGGGAAATATTTGCACTATTTGTTAAATGCTAGTTCACCTCTGATGCAAATTGCCTCCACTGACCCCTACGTGCCCCACCCCCGTGTCCAACGGGTAAATAAGAAGTCAGTCCAACTGAACCAGCAAATTGCTATGAGTTCGTAGTTTAGTCCCTTGACATGCTTGAATGCAATATTTCGACTCATGATAAATTGTCTGCATGGTACGTGACTGTCGCGCTGCCAGTCTCTCATCAACTGTACGATCATCTCCTTTTTGGCACGCCTTGTTCCACCCACGCACAGCAACAGCAGCTATGTCTCAGAATGTTTTACATGCGGTTGGTGCTTCCTCTCAACCCAATCTGACGTTAACACAACATTTCTTTTTATTTCTAAAACCAGATAATAGCACTGACTATGCGCATTCGTCAGTTGTCAATTGAATGGTTACACCTCTATGACTATGTTCTGACACCCCTATGTTCCGACACAGTACGTTCTGACTGCACATATTTCTATCCTAGGCCCTAACCCTAACCCTAACCGGGAGTAACACAATCTTATATTTGCGGGTACGTTGTCGGAACATAGGGTTGTCGGGGCATATAGCAGTCACCCAATTGAATAGTTCAGAAAAGTTCTGCCCAATTTAGAAAATGAAAACTGGGATTTGATTAAACGGAATAGCTAGGGTAAAACTGGAAGGAGGGCAGAACATTCCTATATGTTGGTTCCTAATATAACTCGCGCACAATTAATACACAAATCACAGAGCCATCGAAAAGCTCCGATCGACCTCGCCCGAACTAAAAATTGCCACAAATCACCTGATAATAATTCTTCAGTTACGCATCGTTGTCAGTACCTACACTACACCTGGGAAAAAATTCATATCCGACAATCCAGGTTGACCCATTCATTACACGCAGTGGTTCTTTCTACTGTGGTTTGACCCAATGACCATCACCTCTCACGTCGCGCAATCAGAGCCAAAAATGGACTTGCCTAGATCATAATGTTTTGGTCAGCCACTCAGCCAGACCTAGTCTGAGTATCACCCGTTATCCACGGAGCCATCTACTGTCTTCGCCGTGGTCTATTACATAGACTAAGCCAGACCTTTGTATCGTATGCAAACTGACCCGATTAATGCCTGGAAAAATACGCAAGATTTACAGACGAATTCCTTACATGTCTGCTAAAACTACTGACAGCCTAGAATATAAACGAAAAGAGAGGTGGGTTTACCTTACAAGAAAGTGTACTTGTAGGCAGTGTACTTGTAGGCATTAAAAGCTGAAGACTCAGTTCAAGCACTGCTGCACTTTTTCCTGCGCAAGTAGGTTGTGGCTAGAAACAACTTTCCCTTTTCACTTGAAGACTTGTTCAAATACAGGCTGATGAGCTCTATAAGGCTGAGATGTAAACACACTCTGCAAAGTTGAGAACTTCTTCGCTCTTTCCGTTCTCGCAGATTTCCAGACTCTACCCTGCCGGCGAAGGAGACTTCCTTATTTATGCCGGCGAAACCGGGAACCGGCTTTGGGCGCGCACGTGTACCCGGCGTTTACAAACAGAATAGTAAAACGTCTCTGTCAATGAACCGCGGACAACCAATCAGAGACCGCCGTCATTAGCGGGAAATGGGCTAGTTCATTAGCAAAACACAACAGGGGTGATCTTGTTAACGCCAACTAAAACGAGGTATGTTGGTTTGTTGAAGTTACATCAGTTCATTACTCAATGATGTTATTGCTTTTCAGAGATTTTATTTTACTTTGTATACACTTGCGTTGAAATGAAAATTGCACGAATAACCACCGCCAAAATAACATCGCTCATCCGTTCAACAACGTAAACACTACCCGGCGAAAATCCAATGGTCCGAATCGTAACGTTCACCGGAAGGCCTGGCAGTTCAGTCACTGACTGTCTGCGTAATCCGAGACCTTGGCAGGCTGCCAAAATGTGATGAACTTTCGCCTGAAGTCAGGCGATGCAGACGGCGGTAATTTGGCAAGCGGGACCGTCGCTGAACGATTATTAAGCATCAGACGGGGGGCAGAAATTCCCACGAAAAACGGTAATGAATAAATAATGACGTACATTTACCGCCAGCCAATGGGCAACACGCCCGACCACTCGCAAGGTTGTTGCAATGTTTATGTTGTGAACATGGCCCTGTAGCTATGTTGTCTCTTGGAGAAGAAAAAAAACCCAAAATGTAAACATTCGCCCTGTCAATAGTATATTTAGGATGTCGGGATATTTTCTGTTTAATATGATTCAATCTTTCGTCGATCCACTGAATGTTTATGTTGCATTAAAGTTCAGGAATGCATTGGAATTTCAACCGATCGCACGGTACGAAGACATGCCAATTGGCACATCTACGGGGGTGGGGTAAGGAGTTCTGACCCCCCTCCCCCGGTTGAGTCGCCAAAACAAAATAGTAAACAAACACGCAGAAAAAATAACACTCACCGCTATACCCCACCCCACTTACAGCTACCCCCCCCCCCCCCCCAGCAAGGGCGGATCCAGAACACAATTTTGGGGGGGGGCCAAAAAAATTTTGGGTCCCCCCAAAAAGTGGGTCAAAAAAATTACGGCGTGGGGTTCGGGGCCCGCTTAAGGGCTCCCGAAAATTTTTTGGATTCTAGATGCTCTGTGGTGCGATCTGAGGCAATATCTGACCACTTTAACCAATGTTTTTTTGAGGAAAAGATGGTGGTGTACTCATTGCCTGCCTTTATTGCGATGTCACATAAAAAAAAAAAAATTGGTTTCGTTTTTTTGGGGGGGGGCCATGGCCCCCTTTGCCCCCCCCCCCTGGATCCGCCCTTGCCCCCCCAGCCAAACTGGACCCCCCTCCCATGCATTCCTACTTTGCAGTTTGTGATTTCTCCTGCACACCTCGACTTTGAGAGCAAATTTTAGTTGTATCCATTATTGTTTGGATCATTCGTGTCATATTGTTTCGGTTATAAAACATAATAACACTGCTTTTTGCAAGAAAAACCTCCTGATCTCCACTCCAATATTCCACAATAACTGGGCTAAAAGTAAAATGGCGACTGGAAAGCAAGAGTGTGCACATCACCCATATGAATGTTCGGAACAGAATGTATATACCGGGCGTGGGTGGGGTAAATTAACCGCCGTTTCCGAGGATGATAAGTGGTCTATGTTCGTGTTCTGTTTCTGTCTGCATTTTGACCATTTTAAGGATTAACCCTCGTTTTTTGCCTCATCAGTGTCTATGAGATGGCCCACATAGAAGACTGGCGACTCCAAAACCCACTCGAAATGACCTAGATATTTCAGGTAACGTTATACAACAGGAGCGGATCCAGGAATTTTCGCAGGGGGGGGGGGGGTTCATCAGCAAGAAAATCTGAAAATGTACACAGGTTTTTTTCTCCGGACACTTGGTGGTGGTGGTGGGGGGGGTGGTTTGACCCCCCCCCCCCCCCCCCCCCCCCCCCCCCCCCTCTGGATCCGCGCCTGTACCATAGGAGTAGGATCGGGGGTAGGATAAAAGCCTTACAAAAGTATGAAGCCTGAGTATAACGAGTGCGGCTGAGGTTTTGTTTTGGGCCTACGTGGTAACTACATTTGGTCCTCGCGGGCCCAATGTCATGCAGAAAACACAAGAGTGCGTGTTTTTTTTTTGTGCTTAACACGGTAGGCCTACTACACCTTGCATGACATGAAACCTGCTTTTGCTATTAAGCAATTTGTTTCTGAGCTTTGCGAATATTTTCTGGCCTTAACAGCATTTTATTTCGTTGTGGGCGGTTGTGGAATTGTAAGGTGCATTGCCATCCGTTTTAGATCCACAAGCAGAATGTATGAGGCAAATTCAGCGTGAGAGAAGTTCTTCATGCTCGCAGAAGAGTGGCATAAGCTTGATATTTCTTTTTGAGGCAGACTGGGGTGATGCTTTCTCGAAGCCCTGGTATGCATTGTAGACTGTTTACACAACCATTAGATATTACCTCGAGCCCCCCATTTCCGTTCCACGATAACGCTCAACTTTGACGAGAAGTGGGTCACGAAACCTCAGCCAATAGAAAGCAAAAAACCAGCACCTGAAAAAAGGGGGTGGGGTACCACATATTGACCCTCAGTTATAAAAAAAAAACAGTTTCCGGGCGCGATTTTCATTTGTTTGACTTTCCTGTGAAGTCTCTTTTGCGGTTTTTGTATTAAAGAGATAATTGCTCAATAAGGACGGCGAAGCTGGACAGTTAAGGGTTGTGACCCTGGTCGAAATTGCCACTCTAAAATACTTGTGTGTTCTTCTTCGTGTTAATAATTCAAATTTAGAGTGGGAATTATTTGGAACAAACCCTTAACTTAAGGAACAAGTAATTGAATCTGTTGAAACGCCGGAAAAAATTTGCAGTGTTAGCCTCGATTTCGTATTTGTCGCCAGTAAGAAACTCATCCTATATTTTGGCTGAGTGGTAGCGTGCGATCGTGAGGGCACTTTACACGTTTGTTCCCGGGATTTTCGCGCCTGATCACCATCACCTAACCTAAGTTGGCTTACCACACACTGCCCTCATGCCACTGCCCAGGTCGTCTTTTGTCACGGTGTCATAAGACATTGGGACTTTAATTCCTGGTCTCGTTTACCTAATAATATGGACTCCAACCCTCATCAAGTGACTTGTCATCGTTTTAGTTTGAGCCAACTATGCGTAGGCCTAATATACGTAAGGCATGCGCATTATTGACCTATCGCCGTTTGCGAGTTAGCCACGCCCCTTAGACAACCTTATGGAGTTTTTGTACACTAAAGTTTTGTTTGTCTCAGATTTTGCGCGTTCCGCGTCCATTTGTATATTATGCAATTGGACAATATACGCGATTTTATACCGCAATAGACCAATGAGTCCAATATTTCGTAACCGGTTCGTTAGTGTAACGTCATCTCAATTCAACCATGCGTTCTTCACACGGTTTAGCATAGCACGAATGGAACCGTAAGTTAACGCAACTCGAGCGTTTATCCAATGAGCGCTAGTAATCAGTGGTGCGCGCGCGTGTATGACGTTTTTACTCACGAACCGGACAGTCCAAATTTACACCGGATACGCGGTGTTCGCACTATACATCAATGTGCGGTACCCTTTGGAGTGGACTTCTTTGGCAATTTTCCCATGGACAGCTGTACTGTACTTTTCCTCTGGATATTTGCCAACATTCCTCCCAAAACCGCAGAATTTTTATACCGCTGGTCGGGTCTCTTGAACCTTGAGGAGAACGGAGATACTCTGATGAAATTAAGAGTACTTGTAAATCAGGGGTGACTGCCTGTAATGACGGTGTTTTCAAATTCGAAAAAGCTATTAGACCCATAATTCAACTCCTAGAGAAGTATGTCAATTCAAGGCCAGTGGCGAACCCCGGATTTGGCTGGGGGGGGGGGCCTCATAATTTTGTCTTTCAAATCTTTTAGAAGTTAAATTTTTTTGCATACAATTTTGCCCAAAATAACTAGCCGCAGAATTTTCTATTTTTATTGTTATTTTTATTTATTTATTTATTTTATATTTTTTTTATTTTTATTTTTATTTTTTTAATTTTTTTTTTTATTTATTTATTTATTTATTTATTTATTTATTTATTTATTTATTTTTTTTTTTTTGGGGGGGGGACTTTTTTGACGTCGGTGGCGCCATTTAGACCCCTATAATACTACTCGAAAATAGGCCACATACATATCACCAAGGTCAAATCGTGGGACTACCCCCCCCCCCCCCCCCCCCGTGTAAAATTTAATCCTATTTAGATTGTGTTCTACAAACACGCACATAAATTCAAAATGTCTGCGCCCAGAGCGGCTTCAAAGCTTCTCGGCGCGCAAGGATGAAGAGTTAGCGCTCTTGTAATTTAATATAGCTCTATATGGTTTGGTCCAACTTTCTAGAAAACTACGTCATTTCTATCGTCAATTGGCGAGGAGCGACATTGGAAACGAACCAACAGCTTGTCGCGGAGGTCTTGTTCCCCGAAATATAGAAAATTATATAAAAGAAATCCTAGGGCATTTGTTTTCCATTCCTTACCAAAAGATTCGTGATCTTCGTCTTTAGACTTCCAGATTGTTCCTCGCCAATCTGAAATAAGGACAAGTAACACCCCCCCCCCCCACATCTGCCACTGGGAACTTTCATCGTTCAGTGATGGAGTTTTCTCCACATCATGATGATTAACAATCCAGTGGAACAAAGTCCAATTAGGGAAGTGCGTCAAGCGCACATCCCAACAGGCTTTGTAAGATCCTAAAAAAGGAGGAGGAATATTGTGACGTTTCCTATCTCAAATGGAGAGTAATTGACTTGATACACGGTGAGATGATTGAAGATGAGAAATTCTCCGAAAAACCACACGGCGAGTAAAGTACACCATCAAAAGGATGCTTGTCCCCGGACTGGTAACCTGACTAACAGGTGGTTCGTGTTGGCATTTGATGTACAGTACAGGTGCATAATTTCACGCTTGCGTCTTCACTGTCCTAGTGAGAGGG